TAAAGTCTCTCCCTTCAAGCTCAGCACTTCCTCACCCAGGAGTAGGAGTAATTAGCTATCAGTAATTCAACTAAGATTGGGGCTTGCTGTTCATTTCCACAGTTCTATGCTGGATTTTTGTCTGCCTAAGTTTGCATGGGTCTTGTGCACGCTGACACCACTGCTATAGGTTTGTATGAAAAGGGTCTGTAGGACTATTTCCATATGGTCATGCACCTCCTCCCTGGCTCTTACAATCTTTCAACCCCCTCTTCTTCAATGGTCTCTGAGCCCTGGGTAGGTGGACCTCAATATAGGAGTCCCGTCCAAGGACCCACACTCTGCAGACTTACTCTCTGTGTTTTGACAACTTGTGGCCTTTTGTGTTTCTGGCCCTCTGTTGCATGAGAAGCTTCATTGATGAGACTTGAAAGATGCATTAATGTTCTCTTCATCCCTTGTTCTGTGTTCCATGAGTCTTTGGTGTAGAGGTTGCATCCTAGATGTTCCACTTGGGCTTGGGCAATTCACAGAAAATCTCTGTATGTGACCAGTGGTGTAACTCTGTAATAATTCTGTTGAAAAAGAAGCTACTTTGATGGGTGGTGACTGGGATACTTGTCTATAAATTTAAGGATCCATATTTTGTACATAGTAAGAAATTACATCTGTCTAGAGATGTGACAACTTTGGAGTTTTCTCTAAGATCTATGACCTATCCAGCTATGTGTATTTGGCTAGGTTTAGAGTATCAGACATGAGTTTCCACCCACTGAGTGTTTTTTAAGTCCAATTAGGTATGTGATGATTACTCCCAAGATAAAAATGCCACTACTGCATCAATGTTGTTCACTGTGCTGGTCAATGATGTGGTTTTTAGGCCTTGAAGCTAGAGTGGAACCATCGATTGATGCTCTCCCTTACCAGCTTGCATAGTGCTATTCAAAGCTATGAGAGCTAGTCTTCAGGGGAGGTGGCTTCCAGGTCAGTTCTAGCTCCATTGCTCCAAATCCTGTGTCCAAAGTATGTCCTGTCTTCAGCAATAGGGTCTTACCATCAAGTTCTGGGAGGCAATCAAGGACTGTGGCAATAACCTGTGTAATTTTGGGGGTCTCTTGGACTACTCTGGCCAACAACTCAAAGGAAGGTTTCTCCTGTCTGGCACTATTTCTTATTACATAGTCTTCAGCTACACTCATGGACTCATGTAGAGATATTGTATGTGTAATTTTTTAGTAGGTTTTTGGACTAATAGGATTCCCTCTGGTTTTTTATACTAGCTAGTCACTATTTAGGGTTCTTGATTTTTGGCTCTGTCCCACCTGGATCTCACCAGTCTGATGATTACTGAGAACTTCCTTTGCTGACTTGGGCTATCTAACCCAGTCTTATCACCTTGGACCATGACAGACACTTCACCGTTCATTCAATTAGTTATTATGAAATGTTTTAGATTTATCTCCAGGTGTTATAGTGCATGCACATGTGTGCATAGTAGGTTATTAGGGCTATAAAAGTCCACTTTTGTGCTCATTTCTCCTATGGGCCAACCATGCTAATTCACAGTACTGTATGGGCTGTCTTCTTCCAGAGGTTAGGCAGAATCAAGTCCTTTTGCTTTGAAACTTCAAAATCTATCTAGGAGGATTTATTAGCTAACCACCCGACCCAATCTTAACTCCCATTCCTACTGCTTTTCCTAGTTATAGCCTATGTCCTCCTCTTCCTTTCCTCTCTGAACTTCTAACTCAGATTTGTGTTTTGTTTTGAGGATGCTGATGGTCAAACCCAGGGCTGGCACACACCAGCCAAGTGTTATATTACTGAGCTACATGCTCATCTGAAACACAGAATACCTGACAAACACAACGGAAGCGATTTATTTTGGTACGTGGTGAGGGGATACAGTCCACCATGGTGGGGAAGGCATGGCAGAAGGCAGTGCCGTGGAGACAGAATTGTGCACCCAGGACTCCTTCCCTCCTAGTGGAACAGAAAGCAGCCAGGTCAACTAGAAGCCCAGGCAGGCTATAACTCTCAAGGCCCAATGCCCAGTGATTTTCTTTCTCCAGCTAAGCTTCACTTCCTGAAATTCCCACAAACTCTTCAAATAGTGTTGCCAGCTAGGGACCAAGTGTTGAAACATACTGGCTTGTGAGAAACATTTCACATTCAAATCATGTTATTCCAAGATTTTTTCTTTACTGTATGCTATTTTCAACTTTTTTGGCCCTAGGCCTTGAATCATGCACAAACTCAACTAAAAAAAAATACTACAGTTTAGTTGGGCGTGGTAACAAGTGCCTCAATCCTAGCACTTGGGAGGCAGAGCAATCGTACCTCTGTGAGAGCAACGCTAGCATGGTCTACATAGTGAGTTTCAGGTAATCTAGGGCTACCAGGAGGCCCTATCTCAAAAAAAAATTACATTTTTATTTGTGTATGTGTGTGAAGTAAGTACATACCTGCCATGGGTAGTATGTGGTGGTGGTCAGAGGACAACTTGTGGGTATTGGTTCTCTCCGTCTATCATATGGATCCCAGAGATGGGGCTTTGGTTGTCAGGCTTGGAGATAGGTGCTTTTATCCACTGAACCAGCCCACTGGCTCTAAAATAAACTTTTTCAGAATCAAAAACAAAAATACACATGTACTTCCTGTCAAGCATCTGACTTTAAAAAATAAGTACTCCAGTTTTTAGACTATTTGCTTTTACTGTAACTGTAAAAATGAAGCCAAGTGAGGCTGGTATGTGCCTGCGCTGCCAGGTGGCTGTGGACTGCAATGGTTGATTCAAAAGGATTACTAGCTAGCTCCAGGCCAGCCTGAGAGATGGCAGGACTATGTCTCAAAAGTGAAAAATGTTGTTTACTTTGTGGCTCTATTTGCTCTTACTTCAGGGCCATGAAGCCAGACAGAGGGAGGGCACAGGGCAGCAACAAAAAAATGTCTTAAAATTTTACCAGTGTCCAGCTAGGCATGATGGCACACATTAATCCCTGCATCTGGGAGGGCAGTCTCTGTAAGACTGAGGCCAGCCTGGTCTACATAAGTGAGTTTCAGGCCAGCTGGGGCTACAGGGAGTGGCACACATTAATCCCTGCATCTGGGAGGGCAGTCTCTGTAAGACAGGCCAGCCTGGTCTACATAAGTGAGTTCCAGGCCAGCTGGGGCTACAGGGAGACCTTGTCTCAAAAAGACCAAGAAAAAAAAATTAGTATTTAGAGCTACATAATCAATCTTTTCTTATGAACCAGTTGCCAAAGAATTCACTAAATTTCTGCACTGTAAATGCTTCCTACAATCTTTTCATTCCTCAATGTTCAGGACTTACTGTAAATGGGATGGAACAGCAAAACTGAAAGCAAGACCCCCAACCTTAAAATATCTTTATACCCAGATTTTATAGATTCCTTTGGCAGAGCAGGCAATATTTTCATATACTGACTAATTTTCACTGCTCCAGCATGTATATAAACTTGACTTTTTTTTTTTTTTCGACTCCTTACCTGACGTACTCTAAACTCTTAACTGGCCTGGCAGATAGTCTATTAGACTATGGAGGCAATAGAAGAAATGCAGGCTGGAGAGATGGTAGGGGTTAACTGGCTGCTCTAAGGCCTGGGTTAGGTTCCCAGCACCCATGAGGCAGTTAACCTCCCTCAGCAAGTCCAGCGCGCGCGCGCGCACACACACACACACACACTTACGAAGGCAATTTTTACTCACACTTAAAATAAAAATTTTTAAAAAAAACCCTTAATCTTACTTCAGAACTCTGAAGCCAATGGGGGGAAGGGGAGGGGAGAGGCTCGATCTCTTTCCAACGTGGCCACATGAGTAAATATTTTTCCATTTTTCCAGTATTTATGTTGGCTCTTTAAATTGGTTCATTGTGGAAAGTTGGCTGAACTTCGCTGGCTGTGACCGCGAACTTTGATAGCAAACCGCCTTTTTGCTTGATTATTCCGATTTAAGTACCTTCACAAGGACGTCCAAGCACTTAAAGATTTAGTCCCGTAATTTATCATTATTACGTACACTCATGTTTACATTTTCTTAGATGTTTATCTTGACTTGGACATGAACCGCTGTGGCAGTATTCATTAAAATGCGACCGTTTAAAACGGGGAAAAAAAGAGGAAAGAAAAAAACCAATTGCTCTAAGCGGGGGTGGTTTGAAGAGAAATAGAGGGTAGATCTGTTCATAGTCTATTAGGTATATGTAGGAAAATTTCAAAAATAAACAAAAAATTTAAAGAAGCTGGAGGGGGTTAAAGTTTGGGGGCGAAAAGACCGACAGACACATGTCTACTTTGGTCCAATAGGAGTGACCAATGAGTAAATAGTGTAGATAAGGAATGCGGGCCTGGGTTAGAATTCAGCAGGCCGCCTGGCCGGGTCCTCAGAAGCCCAAGGCTCGACGTGACTGCTGGCGCTGCTAGTGTGCTTTCTTGTTCTAACGCCATTAAAAGGCACCCCATGCCTCGGAAAGCCCGGCTTAACTCTCCACCGCACACAGCGCTCCCAGCTCTCTTCTCAAACCCTCCGGACCCGGAAGTGAACTTTTCTTTATGTTGTCCCCGCACGCACTGCGTGCGTCGGAGGGCGGAGACCTCGGTCACCCGTAGGTCACAGCCCTAGAAGGCGGCACCCGCCCGAGGCCGCCACTACAGTCACTGGGGCCCCTTCTGGCCCCTTCCGGCCGCTGAAAGACTTGAGCGCGAGAGGACACGCCCGACATAGTGGCTTGAGCGGAACAGACGCGAGCGGCGTCATAAAGCGCGGCTGGAACGCTGAGGCGGCCTCCCAGGCGTCGCGCGCTCTCTCGGGGCGGGAGGCACGCCTCTTCCATCTCCTCAGCGTCCCCCTCCGAGGGGGCGCGCCCTCCGAGGTGGGCGCAACCTGCTGAGGGGAGGGCGGCTCGCGCCGCAAAGCGTCCTGGGAGAATCGGCTCGAACCGGAAGGACACGCGGGCGCGCGGCGGCGAGGTTATAAAAGGGAGGGAGCTGCCGGCAGCCGGAAGTGGGCGGTTCGTCGGCGTCGCGCTCTGTTGTTTGGTGTTTGGGCCTCGGGAGGGGCGTTCTCTGGAGCTTCGCTGGTGCAAGCCCGGCTGACAGGGCAGCCCGTTCCCCGCCGCCGCCACCGCCGCTGCGCCCCCCGCCTCGCCCGGTGCAGCGTGCCTTCGCGCCCTCCGCGTTCCGCAGGCCCAACATGGCGCAGGAGGTGTCGGAGTTCCTGAGCCAGAACCCGCGGGTGGCCGCCTGGGTGGAGGCGCTGCGCTGCGAGGGCGAGACGGACAAACAGTGGCGCCACCGCCGCGAGTTTCTGCTTCGCAATGCCGGGGACCTGGCCCCCGCGGGCGGCGGTACCTCGGCGACGGAAGAGGATGAGAACGCGAGCGGAGGGGCTCGCAGTCGGCAGCTCCAGCAGCTCATCTCGTTCTCCATGGCCTGGGCAAACCACGTCTTCCTGGGGTGCCGGTGAGTGAGGTGCCCAGCCAGCCTTCCGCCACCGGTCCGTGTCGTGTGTCGTCGTCGTGTCCCCGTGTCCCGTCCCCCCCACCCCCCGGGCTGGGCAAGTTGTGAAGCGCGGGAATCCAAGGGCGACAAGGGCGTCCCTGGCAGTGCCCACGTACGGGACAGTCGGTGGATGCTGGATAGTTGGTAGTGATCAGCCAACACCCCTGTCAGTACACCCTAGAGTGAAAGGTTGGCGGACCGCCGCCCTCATCTGTGTGTGGGATTCCCGGAAGCAGTGTTCTCGGTGGTTGGTACACTTTGTTGTTTGCAATCAGGAAACGCCGTTCCTGTGGCCTGTTTTTTTCCACATTGCAAATAGTCATTTAGGAAAAAAAGAAAAAAAAAAAAAACCTTAAAAAAGCGACTTTTGCTTCTTTTTCAGGTACCCTCAAAAAGTTATGGATAAAATTCTTAGTATGGCTGAAGGCATCAAAGTGACAGATGCTCCAATCCATACAACAAGAGACGAACTGGTTGCCAAGGTGAAGAAAAGAGGGATATCGAGTAGCAATGGTTAGCAGATCATAGATGTGAACATACATAGGAGTTTAGAAAATAAGTTTGATATAATTAGGAATTACTGTTATTACTAATTTTTAACAAGCCAGAATTTGTGTAATGCTGTTAATCCAATTGGAATGTTAAAACTAAACGATTATTTCTGTGTTTCCTTTAACTGCTTTTAGGTTTTGAAGTGGCTAATGTCTGATGCTATTAATAATTTAATATTAGAAATTAATGATGTTATTCAATATATCTTAATATATTAATGAAGTTGTTCCATAATCCAAAAGAAGTTACTAGTTATGAAATTTCTTTCCTTGTACCTTTATTTCAATGACTGCCTTGTCAGCTAAGTATGAGGTATCCCTAGTGAAGCACCTATGTTTTTCTTCTTTCTAGAAGGGGTAGAAGAGCCATCCAAAAAACGAGTCCTAGAAGGAAAAGGCAGTTCTTCAGTTGAGCGAGATCATGGAAAAATTTCAGCCAGAAACGATCGGTCATCAGCTCAGCAGGAAAACAGTTCAACATCCACAGGGTCATCCACCAAATCAGAGAGTAGTGGGAGCTCAGCCCGCAGCTCTGCAGTCTCCACTCAAAATAGCTCTTCCTGTGAAGATCGGTCTGTTTCCAGCCACAGCAGCAGCTCCTCCCAGGTAACAGCAGCAGGATCTGGAAAAGCTTCTGAACTAGAAGCTTCAGATAAGCATGCTTCAGCATCCTTGGTCTCTGTCTCTTCCTTGTTGAAATCTAGTATGAATAGTCATGTGACCCAGTCCATTGATTCCAGACAGCAAAGTGGATCACCTAAAAAGAATGCTTTAGAAAGTTCTTCAGTCTCAGCAGTTCAGAGCAGCTCAGAGATTGAGGTGCCCCTGTTGGGTTCTTCTGGAAGTGCAGAAGTAGAGTTGCCATTACTGTCTTCTAAATCTAGTTCAGAGACAGCTTCAAGTGGGTTAACTTCCAAAACTAGTTCAGAGGCAAATATTTCGTCATCAATTTCTAAAACCAGTTCCTCATCAGGCACATCTTTACTAACTCCCAAGAGCAGTTCAACAAATACATCACTGCTAACTTCCAAAAGCACTTCTCAGGTAGCTGTCTCATTGTTAGCTTCCAAGAGCAGCTCCCAGACCAGTGGATCTCTGGCCTCCAAAAATGCTTCTTTAGCAAGTGTATCTCAACTAGCTTCTAAGAGTAGTTCTCAGAGTAGCACTTCACAGTTGCCTTCTAAAAGTACTTCACAGTTAAATGAGAGTTCTGTCAAATTTTCTTGTTGCAAGTTAACCAATGAAGATGTGAAACAGAAGCAACCTTTCTTCAATAGACTGTATAAAACAGTGGCATGGAAGTTAGTAGCTGTTGGTGGCTTTAGTCCCAATGTGAATCACGGAGAGCTGCTAAATGCAGCTATTGAGGCTCTGAAAGCAACACTGGATGTATTTTTCGTCCCACTAAAAGAACTGGCAGATCTGCCTCAAAATAAGAGTTCCCAAGAAAGCATTGTTTGTGAATTGAGGTGTAAGTCTGTATATTTGGGTACTGGCTGTGGAAAAAGCAAAGAAAATGCAAAAGCAGTTGCATCAAGAGAAGCACTGAAGTTATTTCTCAAGAAGAAGGTGGTAGTAAAAATATGTAAAAGGAAATACAGAGGCAGTGAGATAGAAGATCTAGTACTCCTTGATGAAGAATCAAGACCTGTAAACTTACCTCCAGCTTTAAAACATCCTCAAGAATTACTATAATTTCTCCAAACTATCACTGCATACAGTATCTGGTATTTGAAGAGAAAAACTGGCTTTTATATAATGTAAAACACTGGCTTTCACAGATTTTTGTATTGCTTTTTTCCAGTTTTGCAGAAAATTTACATTCTAGTTCTCTTCACTAAAGTAGAAGTTGTAAATAATTTATGAATGACAGTACAAATTAAGAGCACTAACAGCATACCAATATGCTGTTTTGTTTGCTGAAGAAATACTGTCTTCTATTTTTAATGATAGGTACGATGTGTAGTTCTGTAGGGTCTTAAAATTTTTGTACTACTTTCAATTTGAAGAACTATTAAAGTTGTCTACCATGCTTTTTTTTCTGGCTTGATTTAAATCACATCAAAGAAAAGGGGACCACAGTATTTGAATGTCTGAAAGTCTATGAAACTTAAGGTTTTAAGAATGTTACTCATAATGTTGAACATCTGTTAAAAAATAAAATAGTTGCCTCAGACTTTTTATGAGAAGTTGTAAGCATTTTCTTTTAAGATATAAAGCAGTTTAAAGTACTTATTGTTGTTTTATTCTGAAGTTGTTTAAAATTCACCTGATTTGACCACTGCTGATTGTTTGGAGGTAAAATGCAATTTACACTTTCTTAAAAACATAAATGTGAGTTTCTATATTAAGCATATTTTGTGACTACTATTAACAGATTGGTTTGTTTAGATATTAAATGCTTTAAGCTATTTTGCCTTTTCAAGAAGTTGTGGTTTTTTGTTTTTTTTTCACCCCAAAGTCAGAACCAAGTCTTACAAATAGGCTTCTTACTACTAGTCATAGTAAATTAGAACCAAGTAATTTTCATAGTAATATACATATTTATGTGGATAGGGAAGTTAAAATTTTCATACCTAGAACCAGGTAGTTTCTGTATTTAGAGATCTCAAGAACATGGAGAAGAATAAAGAGCCATGATCACTTCTTTGAGTGTGTATTCATGTGAATTGCATCTGTTAGTAATGTTATTTTCTGTGTCCTAGGTGATTCGATTAATCTATTGTGGTTTATTTCAAACTCTGGTCTCAGATATTTGGTTACTTTGGTGGCCTTCTGGCTTTCTCGATGTGGCACACTGAACAGTAATGGTGATAATGTACAAAGGAAAGAGATGACCTCATATTCATTAGTTGTATTGGAATTGGAAGATTAAACATCAGCACAATTTAAGTATGTAAAAGTAATTTTATAGTTTAGGAATAATAGACAAATACTTCAGTTTCCTGTGCTTGAACTGAAATAATCAGGGATGTTTGTATTTTACCAGATAACCTTTAAAACTGATGTTTTTTTTCTGAGAATAGTTCACTGGATACCAGAGCTAAAATCCATATTCTGTAAATGGGCTACCTTTATATATTGTGGAGAGCAATAACAAGTGTATTATAAAAACACTTTTAATTTCCTTTTGTGTTGGAATGTGTATTTTGTGAACCAATGCTTACCAGAAAAGTGAGCCAGAATTTAGAATAAATATATTTCTGAAATACATCTTATTAGATGATTTGGTAATTTATTAAAATGGCTTCTTGTAACAAACATAAAGGTTATTGAAAATCTTAAGTTATAGTAACCTTTTGATTGAAGGAGGCAGTTTGGAAGCATAGGCCTATAATCTTAACTACTTGAGAGGCTGAGGCAGGGGAAGCACAAGGTCAGGGCCTTTGAAGACTACAGAGCAAGTTGAGACCAATTTGTGCATGTTAGGCCCTATCAGAAAATAAGCAAAAAGACCTGGGAATATATAGGACAGTGAAAGAACGCTTGCTTAGCATGCAGGGAAGGCCCCTAGGTTGAACTCTCAATACCACCACAAAACAAAAACAAATGTAAACTTTAATTTTTTTTTTTTTTCCTTAGTTTTTGTGACAGTCTTGCTATATTATGTAGTCCTGACTGGTCTTAAACTTGTGGTAGCAGTCCTGTCTCTTCCTTAATGCTGGGGTTACAGATGTGTCATCACTCCTTTTCTTATAATATTTTTAATAAGCTCTTAAAAATTTAAAGATCTTTGAAGCTGGAAAGTTGGCTTGGTGAGTAAAGTGCTTGCTATTATGCCAGACTGGAGTTAGGTTCCCCAGCAATGTGAAAAGTGGGTGGGCATGGCAGCTCCTCTGTAATCCCAGCACTGGGGAAGTAGACATGGGATCCCCAGTGAGCCCCAGTTCAGTTGAAGACCCTGCAGTTGACTAATGCACCTGATGTCAACTTTTGACCTCCACATACACCTGAACAAGTGAACCCATGTGACTAAATACAGTTCATTGCAAAGATCCTAAAAAGATGAGGGAAGTATTCACAAGTAAGATGATAACATTTCACTGCAGACAGTACCTACAATTCTAAAAGGATTCTATTTTAAAAGCATCTTTTGAAGGGGCTAGGAGAGATGGCTCAGCAGTTAAGAGCACTGGCTGCTTTTGCAGAGGACCTGGGTTCGATTCCCAGCACTCACACGGCAGCTAACAACCATCTGTAACTCCAGTTCCAGGGGATCTGACACCCTCTTCTGGCTTCTGTGGGCACTGCACTTAACATGCGTGCAGGCAAAACATACAAATAAAAAATTTTAATTTCTTGAAATTTCCTTTCTCTGAAAAGCTTTTTTTTTTTTGGTCTTTTTGAGACAGGGTCTTCCAGTAGCCCCAGCTGTCCTGGAACTCACTATGTAGACCAGGCTGGCCTTGAACTCACAGAGATCCGCCTGCCCCTGCCTCCTGAGTGCTGGGATTAAAGGTGTGCACCACCACACCCAGCTTGAAAAGCATATTTTTAATTGTTTAGCAATAAATATTTGTGTTTTGTAAATTAGCCTTTATTATAGAGTACGAAGAGCATTGAGTAGATGGAACCTCAAAATATCAGTTGATAATTCACAAATCCCCTGCTAGAGCTCTCATTGGCAAACTGGTTTAACACAAAACTTGCCAAGTAGTGCCAATTCTTCAGTGCCAAGTAGGTTTGGGTTCCTTTATTGCAAACTACAAATATGAGCTGTAATTTTTTTTTCCTTTTTTTATAACAGGGTCTGGCACTCTCCATGTAGACCATGTTGGCCTCCATCTCACTGAGATCTGCCTGCCTCCCCCTCCCAAGTGGTGAAACTAAAGGTGTATGCCACCATGCCTGGCAAGCTCTATAGTTTTTTTATTATATTTATTTGTGCATGCTTGTGTGCATGCCACAGTGTATGTATGGAGGTCCAAGGATAATTTTCTCTTTCTGCCTTATGGGTCCTGGAGAATCAGACTGGTCATCAGGCTTGCTGGCAGTCACCTTTACTCGCTGAACCATCTTGTCCGCCCCAGATGCTACAATACAGCACAAACAACTTTTCAAATATTGCCATTAGCTTTCCCACGATCACATGGTTTGAGCCAAGACCATACCTATGGGCACTGGAACAGGGGTCAGTTCCATATCTGTCCCTTGAAGGCAATAGGGCCCTGAACCAGATCAAGAGCCTATCTGAGCCTGCACATCTTGATTTGTAACCCTTGAGACCATATGGCTGGGTATGGGTAGGTCAGAGTAGTGTTAGCTGCCAGAGAGGTGTGGTGTTACTATGCCAACATTATAATCACCTGAACACATAGCCTAACTCTTAATTTTAGTTTTTTTGTTTAATCTTATGTGTATGAGTGTTATGCCTGCATGTATGTAAGTACACCCATGTCATGCAATGCCTATAGAGGTCAGAAGAGGGCCTCAGATTCCCTTGGAACTGGAGTTATGGACAGTTGTTAGCCACCATGTGGGTGCTGAGATTTGAACCCAGGTCTTCTGCAAGAGCAGTCAGTGCTCTTAACCCCTAAGCCATCTCTCCAGCCCACTTAATTTTAGTTTTTAAGAGTGCACCTGAACTCAGAGGACACTCGTTCTAAACATCTCAGAACCCTCTGTCTCCTGGAACTGTGCTGATAGAACCGTCTTTCTGAAACTGTCCCAAGTGTGGCCCCCACCCATAATTTTATTCAAAATACTTTCTTCAGCTTCAGTTGAAGTACAAGTTTGACTCCATACTGATCTTGATATACCATCTGGTTCTAGAATATCATTTACCCAAGGTCAGGAATCCTTCCCAATCTCCATTGAGTGCAGTGGAGAGGAGTGAGCTTGCTTTCAGTGGTTTGATACAATTCTCAAGAATACTCTCATTCATTATCCTTTGGGTGGATTACCAAGTTGAGGCTCCCAGGAAATCAGATCAGGTACCCAGGTCACAAGACATGAGCAGAGTTTTGAAGGGGGGTGGTTAATTAAAAGTCATTAATACAGATGATGTTCATTTTTATAAAAGTCAATCCCATAGAGGGAAGCAGCATTAGGGGCTAATGCCTATTTAAAAAAAAAATGTGTATGAGTGTTTTGCCTGCATGTATGTAGGTATAATGTGTGCAGTGCCTTTCACCCATAGAGGCCAGAGGAAGCCTCAGATCTTCTGGAACTGGAGTTATGGATGGTAGTTAGTTTCCATGTGGATGCTGGGAACTGAAACCCAGTCCTCTGGAAGTGCAGTCAGTGCTCTTAACTCCTAAGCCCCGTTTCCAGCACACGCATGTGTGCGTGCGTGCGTGCGTGCGTGTGTGCGTGCGTGCGTGCATGCATGCGTGCGTGCGTGCGTGTGTGTGTGTTGAGACAGGGTCACTGTAACCCCAGCTAGCCTGGAACTCACTATGTAGACCAGGCTGAACTTGAACTCACAGACATCCACCTGCCTCTGCTTCCTGAGTGCTGGGATTAAAGGCATGTGCCACCAGGCCAAGCCTTCCCATGTTTGTATTATGTGTATGTGTGTATTGCCTGCATGTATGTAAGTGTACCTGTGTCGTGCAATGCCTGCGGAAGACAGAAGAGGCTGTCGGATCCCCTTGAACTGGAGTTAAGGGCAGCTGTTAGCTGCCATGTGGGTGCTGGGATTCAAACCCAGGTCTTCTGCAAGAACAGTCAGTGTTCTTAACCGCTGAGCCATCTCTCCAGCCCCCCCCCCCATGTTTGTATTTTAAGACATGTTGCTATGCAACTCTGGCTGGTCTGGTAACTATGTAATGTAGGCTGGAACTATTCTTGCCTTTGCTTTTAGCTAAAACTTTTATGATGCAAACTGAGCATCCACAGAGGCATTCCTGTCTACCCTTTATCCGTTTAAATACCTGCTCTACAGTCATGAATTAAGTATGCCTAAAAATGTATCTACCATCTTTCCATCTTAAATTATGACCTTAGCAGTTTGGGGAGATAGCAGTTGGTAAAGTACTTGCCACAGATAGCATGAGGATGAGTTCACTGTCCCAGCATTCAGTTAAGAAGCTGGGCGTGGTGTGTGCTTAAGAATTCCAGTGCTGTGGAGGCAGGGACAAGTGGATCCTGGGGTTTAGCCAGTCTAGCCTAATCCGGGAGCCCCAGGCCAATGAGAGATCTTGACTCAAAAGAATAATGTGAGCTGGGTGTGGTGGCACACACCACACTCAGGAGGCAGAGGCAGGTGGATTTCTGTGAGTTCAAGGCCAGCCTGGTCTACGTAGCATAGCAAGTTCCAGGCCAGCTGGGGCTACAGGGAGACCCTGTCTCAAAAAAACAAAAAGAATAATGTGGACAGCTCCTAAAGAGCAACATTGAGGTTGTCCCTTGGCCTACACATATGTACACACGTGCACCCTCACAAACATACCTGCACATAGTCAAATTGTCAGTTTAAGTGAGCATGCTGAAGGATGTTCTTACCCAGCCCAGGTTGCACATGCTTTTAATCCTAGCACCCTGGAGGCAGAGACCTGTAGATCTCTGTGAGATTGGGACCAGCCTGGTTTACACGGTGAGTTCCAAGCTAGCTCTATTACAGGGAGACCCTGTCTCAAAAAAAAAAAAAAAGTTCTCACCCACAGAGTGCTTTCCCATATGACAGTACAGGCTCCCTAAATAAAAGCCAATGCTTCCTTAGTTCGAGAGGGCATTGCTTTGGAAAGAGCATTTTGTGCTCTTCCACTGAACACAATCTTTCTCCACTCATGTCTCAGCCTTGGTTTTTTGTTGTTTAAGCTTTGCATTCACCAAAATTTGAATCTGCTGTATCAGGTTATAGTAGGGATGGGTTAAAGTTCTCTTTACTTCAGGAATAAATACAAAGGAAGCCTTAACTACAAAATGAGAAAGATATTGGGGTTGAAGAGTAAACTCAGCAGTTCAGAGCATTGGCTGCTGTTGGAGAGGACCTGGGTTTGGTTCCCAGCACCCATGTGGTAGCTAACAATCATCATTAACTCAAGTTCCAGGGTATCTCTTGCCCTCTTCTGGCCTTCATGAACATTGCATACATGGGTACACTTACAGACATGTAGGCAAAATATTCATATACAAAATAAAAAATTTAAAAAGATGTGTTGGGCAAGCTAAAATAGATATCTT